AAGTTAGTAGAACTATAGATATCGTATAAACTCTACATCATTACAGTAAAGTTAGTAGAACTATAGATATCGTGTAAACTCTACATCATTACAGTAAAGTTAGCGGAACTATAGATATCGTATAAACTCTACATCATTACAGTAAAGTTAGCGGAACTATAGATATCGTATAAACTCTACATCATTACAGTAAAATTAGTAGAAGTATAGATATCGTGTAAACTCTAACAGTAAAGTTAGTAGAAGTGTAGATATCGTATAAACTCTACATCATTACAGTAAAGTTAGTAGAAGTATAGATATTGTGTAAACTCTAACAGTAAAGTTAGTAGAAGTATAGATATCGTGTAAACTCTACATCATTACAGTAAAGTTAGTAGAACTATAGATATCGTATAAACTCTACATCATTACAGTAGAGTTAGTAGAACTATAGATATCGTATAAACTCTAAATCATTACAGTAAAGTTAGTAGAACTATAGATATCGTGTAACTCTACATCATTACAGTAAAGTTAGCAGAACTATAGATATCGTGTAAACTCTACATCATTACAGTAAAGTTAGCAGAACTATAGATATCGTATAAACTCTACATCATTACAGTAAAGTTAGTAGAAATATAGATGGCGTGTAAACTCTACATCATTACAGTAGAGTTAGTTGAACTATAGATATCGTATAAACTCTAAATCATTACAGTAAAGTTAGAGAAACTATAGATATCGGATAAACTCTACATCATTACAGTAAAGTTAGTAGAACTATAGATATCGTGTCAACCCTAAACTATTCAGACTGAAGTTAGTAGAACTATAGATATCGTGTAAACCTGATTTAGAGTTTATACGATATCTATAGTTCTACTAACTTTACTGTAATGATGTAGGATGTAGAGTTTATACGATATCTATAGTTCTACTAACTTTACTGTAAATTACAGTAAGGTTAGCGGAACTATAGATATCGTGTAAACTCTACATCATTACAGTAAAGTTAGTAGAACTATAGATATCGTGTAAACCCTACATCATTTAAGTAAACTTAGCAAAACTATAGATATCGTATAAATTCTACATCATTACAGTAAATTTAGTAGAACTATAGATATCGTGTAAACTCTACATCCTTACAGTAATATTAGAGGAAATATAGATATCGTGTAAACCCTACATCATTTAAGCAAACTTAGCAAAACTATAGATATCGTATAAACTCTACATCATTATAGTAAAGTTAGTAGAACTATAGATATCGTGTAAACTCTACATCATTACAGTAAAGTTAGCGGAACTATAGATATCTTATAAACTCTACATCATTATAGTAAAGTTAGTAGAACTATAGATATCGTGTCAACCCTAAACTATTCAGACTGAAGTTAGTAGAACTATAGATATCGTATAAACTCTAAATCATTACAGTAAAGTTAGCGGAACTATAGATATCTTATAAACTCTACATCATTATAGTAAAGTTAGTAGAACTATAGATATCGTGTAAACTCTACATCATTACAGTAAAGTTAGCAGAACTATAGATATCGTATAAACTCTACATCATTACAGTAAAGTTAGCAGATCTATAGATATCGTATAAACTCTACATCATTACAGTAAAGTTAGCGGAACTATAGATATCGTGTAAACCCTACATCATTACAGTAGAGTTAGTAGAAGTATAGATGGTGTGTAAACTCTACATCATTACACTAAATTTAGCAGAACTATAGATATCGTGTCAACACTAAACTATTCAGACTGAAGTTAGCAGAACTGTAGATATCGTGTAAACCCTACATCATTACAGTAAAGTTAGTTGAACTATAGATATCGTGTCAACACTAAACTATTCAGACTGAAGTTAGCAGAACTATAGATATCGTGTAAACCCTACTTCATTACAGTAAAGTTAGTAGAACTATAGATATCGTGTAAACTCTACATCATTACAGTAAAGTTAGTAGAACTATAGATATCGTGTAAACTCTACATCATTACAGTAAAGTTAGTAGAACTATAAATATCGTATAAACTCTAAATCATTACAGTAAAGTTAGCGAACTATAGATATCGTATAAACTCTACATCATTACAGTAAATTTAGTAGAACTATAGCTATCGTGTCAACCCTAAACTATTCAGACTGAAGTTAGTAGAACTTTAGATATCGTGTAAACCCTACATCATTACAGTAAAGTTAGTAGAACTATAGATATCGTGTCAACACTAAACTATTCAGACTGAAGTTAGTAGAACTATAGATATCGTGTCAACACTACATCATTACAGTAAAGTTAGTAGAACTATAGATATCGTATAAGCTCTACATCATTACAGTAAAGTTAGCAGAACTATAGATATCGTGTAAACTCTACATCATTACAGTAAAGTTAGCAGAACTATAGATATCGTATAAACTCTACATCATTACAGTAGAGTTAGTAGAAGTATAGATGGCGTGTAAACTCTACATCATTACACTAATTATAGCAGAACTATAGATATCGTGTCAACACTAAACTATTCAGACTGAAGTTAGTAGAACTATAGATATCGTGTAAACCCTACATCATTACAGTAAAGTAAGTAGAACTATAGATATCGTGTCAACATTAAACTATACAGACTGAAGTAAGTAGTAGAACTATAGATATCGTGTATACCCTACATCATTACAGAATTATAGTATTAGAATTAGAATTATTAGTAGAAGTATAGATGTCATGTAAACACTAAACCATTCACACTGAAGTTAGTATAGGTATAGATTCGTTTCTTAATGTCATAACAATACTTTTACGTGCATGTTACTCCAAAGGAGAACAAAACTACTGTATGTGACAAAAGGAGTAAACACGCAGCTAATGAAGAAATGAGGTTTGGAAATTCAGTATTTTGTTGTATATTAATAGTGATCTCTTAACTCTCACAACCGAACTATTAATTGATGTGTGAAATGTAACTGAGAAAAAACAAAAACAAAATACTTAATAAATTCTACTTGTGAGTAGTAGTGTTATATATATATAGCTATTATTGGCGATATCTAAGTGTTTAATATGATCAGAGCACTTGTTAATATGTTAGTTATGTTACACGTTATTACCTGAAGTGAAATATTGTCCTACTTTTAAATCGGACGTAATTATATATTTCACTAGCTGTAACTAATTCTTGTTTCCTTACCTCGCCCACTCCTGCCGACAAACCTCAAGTCATTGAATTTGGCAACGTGATTTTTCATGGCTGCCGAGGCGTTACGAAGTTCGGCACAAAAGTTCTCATCGTTTCCCGCTCGAAGTGTCACCAAGGTCCCGTCGGACACGTCGGCTAGAGTCACGACTTTGAAAGCTACAGGAAGAGTTTTGTTGGACCGCCAGTGGGACGGGAGAACTGAGCAAAGCATACTAGGACTGCCTGTCCGCACCAGCTCGCCTGGGTGCTCGCTTAGTGCCTCGTGGAGAGCCCGTTCTCCTGGCAGAAGGAAGTCCGTCATGGTGTCGGCTGATGAGCCGAGCAGATCTGTTGGCAAGTGCATGAGTTACGAGACGTACCTGGACGCAGCGGAGCAGCCGCGAAACGTGCGACTGGTGATGCTTGTGGTTTACACCCAGAATTCCTTCAACACAAACTTTCTAGTTCGGCGGAGCTCTTAAATATACTAGCGTCCTCTACCGGGAAGGCGTGTTAGTATTCAAATAAGAATATTAGCTTCGTAGCAGATAATAAAAAAACAACAACTGAAGCATAAAGAAACACCAAACATATAAAATATACAAATAAAAACACAAACAACACAACATCATATAAAACAAAAAGTTACTTAAAACATCTGAATACATAAAAACTATTAAACAAAAACATCTGAAGACATAAAAATTATTAAACAAAAACATATAAAACAAAAAACATAAAACATCCAAAAAGACATAAAAACTATTAAACAAAAACAACAAAATTATATAAAACAAAAAGTGACATAAAAGATCTGAAGACATAAAAAACTATTAAACAAACACAACAAAAATAGATAAAACAAAAAGTGACGTAAAACATCTGAAGACATAAAACTATTAAAACAACAAAAACATATAAAACAAAAAGTGACATAAAACATCTGAAGACATAAAAACTATTAAATTAACAAAAACATATAAAACAAAAAGTGACATAAAACATCTGAAGACATAAAAAACTATTAAATTAACAAAAACATATAAAACAAAAAGTAACATAAAACATATGAAGACATAAAAACTATTAAACAAACACAACAAAAATAGATAAAACAAAAATGACATAAAACATCTGAAGACATAAGAAATTATTAAACAAAAACAACAAATTATATAAAACCAAAAGTGACATAAACATATGAAGACATAAACAACTATTAAACAAACACAACAAAAACATATAAAACGAAAAGTGACATAAAACATCTGAAGACATAAAAACTATTAAACAAACACAACAAAAATAGATAAAACAAAAAGTGACATAAAACATCTGAAGACATAAGAAATTATTAAAACAACAAAAACATATAAAACAAATAATTACCTTAAACATAAATAAATTGTTATAAATAACAATTTACCGTTGATAAACACGGTAACAACGTTGTTAACATCAAAGGTAAAGATTATCCTAGCTTGTGACTTGTGTTGTTGCTTTATTGTTAATATCAAAGGTAAAGAGTATCCTAGCTTGTGACTTGTGTTGTTGTTTTATTGTTAACATCAAAGGTAAAGAGTATCCTAGCTTGTGACTTGTGTTGTTGTTTTATTGTTAACATCAAAGGTAAAGAGTATCCTAGCTTGTGACTTGTGTTGTTGTTTTATTGTTAATATCAAAGGTAAAGAGTATCCTAGCTTGTGACTTGTGGTGTTGTTTTATTGTTAACATCAAAGGTAAAGAGTATCCTAACTGGTGACTTGTGTTGTTGTTTTATTGTTAACATCAAAGGTAAAGAATATCTTAGCTTGTGACTTGTGTTGTTGTTTTATTGTTAACATCAAAGGTAAAGAGTATCCTAGCTTGTGACTTGTGTTGTTGTTTTATTGTTGACATTAAAGGTAAAGAGTATCATAACTTGTGACTTGTGTTGTTGTTTTATTGTTAACATCAACGGTAAGGAGTATCCTAGCTTGTGACTTGTGGTGTTGTTTTATTGTTAACATCAAAGGTAAAGAGTACCCTAGCTTGTGACTTGTGTTGTTGTTTTATTGTTAACATCAAAGGTAAAGAGTATCCTAGCTTGTGACTTGTGTTGTTGTTTTATTGTTAACATCAAAGGTAAAGAGTATCCTAACTGGTGACTTGTGTTGTTGTTTTATTGTTAACATCAAAGGTAAAGAGTATCCTAGCTTGTGACTTGTGTTGTTGTTTTATTGTTGACATTAAAGGTAAAGAGTATCCTAGCTTGTGACTTGTGTTGTTGTTTTATTGTTGACATCAAAGGTAAAGAGTATCCTAGTTTGTGACTTGTGGTGTTGTTTATTGTTGACATCAAAGGTAAAGAGTATCCTAGCTTGTGACTTGTGGTGTTGTTTTATTGTTGACATCAAAGGTAAAGAGTATCCTAGCTTGTGACTTGTGGTGTTGT